CTTTGCAGAGCAGAAAGGCTGCTGGTCGGGGAGAAGGAGAACAATTCCAAATGAGATTGAGGCGTCTCGAGGGAGGCACGACCTCGGGGCTTGGCAGACCAGGGAAAAGATTTCGGATTTTACCTGATGGGGAGCCTTTGGGAGCGTGTGGCTGTACAGAGGAGACGGAATCGGACTTGGCATTTGTCAACAGACTGGCTCTGGCTACAAGTGAAAAATGGGTTGGGAGGGGATGAGGCGAGGACGGGAACAGGGAGGCTTGTTAAGACCCAGAGGGAGGGAATGGTGGCTTAGAGATGGTTCACGTGGCCTCTGTTTTTGAGGTCAAGTAGTTGCGCTCGTTGGGACGTTGGAGGGAGATGCGGGGGAGGCCGAGGTTTGGGACCTGAGCCGGAAGAAGGCGTAGTGTGAGCTGGGAGGCGCGGGCCTGGCTCATGAGTCCTTTCCCACTCAGATCCGGGGCTCCCGGTCCCGAGCCCTCCCAGACAGGGCCCTGGTCAACTGTCAGTACAGCTCTGCCACCTTCAGCACCGGCGAGCGCAAGCGGCGGCCGCATGGGGACCGGAAGTCCTGCGAGATGGGGCTGCAGTTGCGTCAGACCTTCGAGGCAGCTATCCTTACGCAGCTGCACCCACGCTCCCAGATTGACATCTATGTGCAGGTGAGCAGGCAGCCGCCCTCCACCCGGGCAGAGGAGGGAGATGGAGGACGTGAGGGCGGGCAGCCTCATGGACTTCAGCCGCTGTGGATGGGGCTCCCCGCAGGTGCTGCAGGCAGACGGTGGGACCTACGCCGCTTGTGTGAATGCAGCCACGCTGGCCGTGCTGGATGCGGGGATACCAATGCGGGACTTTGTGTGTGCCTGCTCAGCGGGCTTTGTGGACGGCACAGCCCTGGCGGACCTCAGCCACGTAGAGGAAGCAGCTGGCGGCCCCCAGCTGGCCCTGGCCCTGCTGCCAGCCTCGGGCCAGATCGCGCTGCTTGAGATGGATGCCAGGCTGCATGAGGACCACCTGGAGCGGGTGCTGGAGGCCGCTGCCCGGGCTGCCCGAGATGTGCACACCCTGTTGGACCGAGTGGTCCGGCAGCATGTACACGAGGCCTCTATCTTGTTGGGGGACTGAGCGTCCTGCCAGCTGTGCCCAGAATAAAATCCACACACCATACTCTGATCCCCACGGGAGTTCATTCTCAGAGCGCGGCCTGTGCCGGCTCGTGGAGGTGACTAGGGGCCTCCCCCCACATGAACTACGTCTCTCTCGCAGCCTCAGAATTCAGATCCTGAAGAAGGTGGGGGGAGCGTGTCCCTGGGTGGAGAGAGCAGCTAATGCCCAGAAGGGGTCAAGGCAGCCAGGGAGCCGTTAGACCGTGGAGTCTCTTCCTCAGCCCAGCCGTGCAGGGCCCCGGCACACGGGCTGAGGGAGACTCCACTGGCTGTGGGTGCTCACCATGGGGGTGTGGGGGCGTGTCCCACATCCTAGGGTCTATGCCGGCACTAAATGGCCCCCTTCCCCCTAAGAACTCTTTGGGGCCTGTCCTACTGACCTTGGGCTCCAAAAGTACAGCAGACAAATGTTCTCACCTGGAGTGGCCTCCTCAGCTCTGACCGCCCTCAGTGGGACACACACTACCCGCTCCCTCCACCTGCTCTCAGCCCTGCCTGCGCCCTGCAGGCCACACACGGAGACTGCTTCTCCCCTAAAATCCCAGGCACCTCCCGACCTGGAGACCCCCAGCTCCCTGAAGCCCGTCTTGGTGAGGAGTGCCATCAGCCCCTTCCTGTGGCCTCCTGACCCCATGACCTCCGTGCTGGGCTCACGGGTGATTCCATTAGGCACCCATCGCCATGTCTGCGGGCCGACAGCACAGGAACGAGTCCGCCCAAGCCTCGGCCTCCGTCCCCAGAAGTCCCCTTC